AGCATTTATCTGACCTGTCCTCCCACTGCCTTTATTTATTTATTTGCTAAGTCACAGCGCTCCCTTTTAGAATCATTTGCGCAATTAATTATGCTTTTCATTTGCATGATCTACACTAGAGTAGTGATTATCAGGTCAGCACGGTGTGGGAGTTGGGGAGATACATTAATAACCTGAGTTTAAAAAAAAGAAAGGAAAAAAGACAAGAAAAAGCTGCCCAGCGTTGCCTGCCATGAGCAAGGGAGAAGGAAGCCAGTATGATCCGTAGCGCCTGTTGAGTCGGGTGAATCCTTTCTGCAGTTGGAGTTTTGTCAGTTGTGGGTGAAAATGAAACGCAGCCTTTGATTAGAGGGGAATCTTTTATAGTTAACGCATATTTATATTTTTAAAAGTACCAGCATTGAGATCAAATGGAGAAAATTAATTGAAAATTGAGGAACTCTCCCACGATTTCTGTTGAGCTTTCATTTAATATTTGTTCTATAATGCCCTCATTTCATCCCAACCCTAGCAAATAAATGGCCAGGAAGAATCAATAGGCCAATAGGACTTTCATCATTTTTCCTATCTCAGATGTGCCACTGCTATTTAGAGGTGGTAGAAGATGCAAATCTTTCTTGCCTCTGTAGGGTCTGCTGTAGAAATTGAAAACCCCTACTCTATTAAGTACAGTAAAAACGTTTGCTACACAACTAATTTTCTGCTGATAGATGTATCTGGGCCATATATTTTAAGCTTGGCTCCATCTGTTTATCTGAGCCAAAAATGCATTAACAATTAAAGGAAAGATTCTGGTGTGTCAAAGGAAGGAAGGTGACTGTAGACTGTGTGATGATTTTAATGACTGCAATTATTGGAAGATTATTCAACAAGCATCATAGATTTGTTTACTGCATCACTCGGAAACTATAGGGGGCCTATTTGGCTTGGGGTTTTACCTTCCTTCCTCCCTTACCAGCCACTGCAGAAGGGTCTTTAGACCTAAGCAAATGTGGTATTCTCTGTTGGCTTTCTTGTTTTTAAGAGCATCTCTACTGAAATGCAACATTTGTTGTCTCAGCCAACTCTAATGGAACCATCTTTGGAGACATTAAAGCAACCTTTCACATAGACCCTGAACTGGTATCAAGAAAAGCCAGAGGCCAGAGGATCCTGGTCACTAGAGACAGCTTCCCCCAGGGTACCTCAGTTTTACCCTTTCACAGGCAGCTTTTGAGGAGGCCTCCAACTCTTTCCTTCCTCCTCCATCCAGGGCTTGGAGAAGGCACTACAACCACTAGATGTTAAACAGGACTGTGGGCACAGCTCCAGGACTCTACTGGACAAATTTTGGATTTTCCTTCCTTCCCTTTAACATTCCACCCCTCCCCTCATATTATTTCCTATCACAACTCCTGATGTTGCCCTGTTAAAACTTAGTAAATAAAAAGAGAAGATATGACTAAAAGCATATCAGTTTGTGGACTTACGAAGTTTTTACTGTAAATACAGACATGGGGGATGCAAACAAGGAAAGTTTCTTGTCTGATATTAACAAAATAATCAGCCCACAATAATCCATAAATTGCAGCTGGGCTTTGCTCATTAATGAATTGCTGATTTGGAAGGGAGATTTGAGAAAAAAGAAAAGAAAAGCAAATATCCACAGTAACACCTCCTCCCCTCCCTCCCGGAGGCACTGAGACTGGAGTGCCAGGGCCATCATGGCGCTCTTTCTGGGTTCTGCAACCGCGCAGTCGTAAGCCTAAGGTGGACTTGGCTAGCATTGAGGGCCTTCCCTGTTCAAACGTGAGCCTGCAGGATTCTGCAAGTGGCAATTAGGAGCCTATTACAAGCCATTAGATTGATCAATGTAGCTTAAACAATGCGAATGATTTATATGACTGATTTATATGGGGAAGAAAAAGAAAGCGGTGGGGGAGGAGATTCCACATCCTTCACATCCGCACAATGTTGTGGAGAAGAGCCGGGCCCAGCCTATGTTCATCGTAGCTTAGCGTCACCAAAGTAATTTATTTAGAAAACTTTTCAAGCAAAGACACAGGTTCGCCTGGCTTGTCCGGTGGGTGGCGAGATGTATATTCTTTGCTCCTCTCTCTTCTTCCTAAGGAAGAGCTTAGAGAGCCCAAGGCCGAGAAGAGCAGTCGAGGGTCACTGAGACGCCACTCCCCTAGCGGAGGACACCGCCAGCAGCGGTCCCAGCTGCCTCCTTTCCTCGGGTCTGTCCCCGGAGAGGGGGAGGATGACTTACATATTTGTTTAAAGGAGTGTTGGAGAGCTGTGTGGCCTCCTAATTACGGCAGGAACACAGAACCATTACTCTTGAAGTTTCTGGAGAGACTCGGGAGGAGCGGCGACCAGGCTCCGGGCGTGAGATGACGTGGGGGGTGGGGAGGGAGGGGACTCCGCGGAACGGAACTCCTCGCCAGGGCTGACTATTTCAGCTAATCTGGCAAAGACAAAATTACAGCAGAGCTGAAGCGATCAAAGCTGGCCCCCGCGCGCCCTCCTCCTGCCCGCCCGCCTGCCTGCCTGCCTTCCCTCCCGGCCAAAGTCTGTTTGCAGTTGTCTTCTCTGCTGCAGACACTCGTCGGTCTTCTCACGACAAGGAAATTCCTGCCAGTTTTTCTAGAGCCTGCAAGGAGAGGACAGACGCACTTCACGCGTCCCAGAGGAGGAGGATTCCCTTTGTCTAACCTCCTCCTCCCTCAGTCTGCCTCCAGCTCTGGAAGCGGGGAGGAGGACAGGGGTTGGAAAGACCCTGGGCAGGGAGGAGGTGGTTATAACCGAACCCCCAGTCTAACTCTGCCCCTGCTGGTCCCTCCTCTTCCTCCTCCCTCTTCTCTTTCCCGACCTTCTCCCTTCCTCTCTCCCTCTCTCCCTCCTTCCGATCTTCTAGATCCTCTTACCACCCAAATCTTCTCCCGGGCTCCTGCCTCAGAGCCTGGGCAGGCGCTGTTTATTTCCCGACCTTAGTGGTTTGGCAGGAAAGGCCTTCGTCCTGGCTTGTTCTTGAGTGTCTGGGACAAATCCTTTTGTTTAGGTCTAAATGTGGAATGGGAAGCATTCCAGGTTGATAATGGGGAGCAGAGAGAAGAGGGAAAGAGCAGAGAAACAACATGCGCGTGTCTTTCGCAGCCAGGCTGATGGGAGCCCAGGATTTGAAAACCCTTCTAGGTGGATCATGATTTCACTCACACGCACACACACACACACGCACGCGCGCGCTCAACAGCTCTCATCTGTCCTTTATTACACCATGACCCACTCTCCCGACTTCTTCTCTGAGTTACTTTCTTTCAATCCCCCCTTCCTAAGATCTCTTCTCAGGGCCCTGCAGTTCAGTAAAAGGCTGAGAAAAAAGGTCAGCTATAAGATTCCCCGCAAGGACCGAGGCACCCCTGTGACATATCCGGGAACAGGCCTGCCCGGGCTGACACGTCCATGCTTTCTTGATTTCAGCCACTCTAGAGCCCAACCCTGGCAGACTGAACTTCCCTGTCACACCCACTGATGTCACACCCACGCCCTTCCAGAGTCCATATGGACACCTTCCACCCTGACTGGCTTCTTGGAGTACTGAATGGCGATTGCATACAGGAGTACAGGGAGGCTCCGCACACTTTAGACACGTGTGCCTCCCCCTCGCCCCTCTCTCCCCCTCTGCCGCGTGCAGAATCGTACACTCATGACACAGACACACTCACCCGGGCACATGCCAGCGGCGTCCATCATCCTTCCCAGCCAGGCATCGGCAAGCCAGAGGGCCTTGAGGCAGGTGCCATCGCCGCAGGGAGGCTGGCTCCGAGCTTCAGATGCCTCCCTGGGATCCGGGGTATTCGGGTCCCCCAAAGCCAGCTTTGAGCCTCCCGGGCCGTGTGGCCCACGGCTGGGCCCTCCCTCTGCCTCCCGCTGTGCTCCCTCGCCGCTTCCAGCTCGGCACCCGCTCGCTCTCTCCGCCGCCGCAGCACCCGCCCCCCCGTCCCACCCCCGCCC